ACCACAACAACAAGGTACAAACAACAACTGCAGGCCCGTCAACCCAGATATCTGCTTTCGGTCTGTACATTAGGTAGAGACAGAAACAGGAGCCCCGTCATGCCCCCAACAACAACACAGTGGCTATGGTGTATGGGGTTTGAATTGTTTGCACAGTATTTTCAGCGTATGTCCATGGATTTTGTGTCTATTTGCAAGGATTCGATGTGTATTTGCAGGGACTTGGTGCGGATTTGCAAGGACTTGGTGTGTATTTGCAAAGATGTTGTGTGTATGTTCAAGGAGTTTGTGTGTATTTATTTGCAAGGATTTTGTGCGTCTTTGCAAGGATTTTGTGTGTATTTCTATGGATTTGTAGGTATTTCCAATGATTTGTTGGGAAATTTCGTGGATGCTGTGCGTGTTTGAAAGGCTATTGTGTGGATTTTGTATGTATGTCCATGGATTTTGTGTGGTTTTGAAAAGATTTTGTGTGCGTATGTCCACAGCATCAGACGTGAATTTGAGGGCCTGGGACCAAAGTCGAAGCAGCAGACGTGGACCAAGCCCTTCAACATCACATAAAGCCCGTCAATCTCCCTCAAATCCTTGTTGAACCGTTCGGTATCTAATGCAAACCCTTCAAAATTCCAGATTCCCATACACGTCGCGGAAATTTGGTGTAATGTGGGCGGTCGTTGTAAAGGGGGGGGGTCAAGACAAAAGACGGGGCTCCAGTTTTTGCCTCTACCACAGGGTAGAGACAAAGGCCCCATTGAAATCAGGACTTTGTCTCTACCCTGTGGTAGAGACAAAAACTGCAGCCCCGTCTGTTGCTCTCTATCATGGGGCAGTTGCTGTGTAAACCATGGCTTGCATTCCCCAAAACTCTTCAGGCGCCCTATGCGGTCGCCGGAAGCATTCCCAAATGCTTCTTATCAACAACAGTTGCGGGCTGCTGTTTTTGTCTGTACCAACAACAACTACTACTACTATGACTACCACTACTACTACTACTACTACTACTACTACTACTACTACTACTACTACTACTACTACTACTACTACTACTGCTACTGCTACTGCTACTGCTACTACTGCTACTACTGTTACTACTGCTACGACTGCTACTACTACTACTACAGTACTACTACTTCTTCTACTACTTCTTCTACTGCTACTGCTACAACGAAGTGCCTCGGGGTGTAGCAGCCAGCGTTTACATTCTATGAAGCTTGCTTGTTTCGACGGGCTAACAAAGAGCTGCCGTCTCCCTAGCTCTCATCGTTGCAGAAATCGGAAACTCTGAACTCGAAACTGCCGGTAGCTTGTCTGCACCCAACCTTCAATCTAAGGCTCTCGAAGCGGATGATGAACATTACATCCTATAGACCTTCCCAACCGCAGCGACTCCAACCTTTTCGCCGAGAGTATACATAGTCCGAAAGGTCACCCATGAAGCTGATCTGGACTCCAGCGAAGCGAAAAGCATTACGTCCCAGTCTGCGCATCTTGGCTTCTGTTGTGCAAATCCGGAAAAGCAGAGTCATAACCTTAGTCGCGAGCATTGAAACTAGTTAGGCGGTTCAATTGATACAAGTGTCTTTAAGGGACTTGTGCTTTTGGGTGCACTTATCCTTCAAAGAAACAGACTATTGCTCAAACATGGCATGGTGGCATAGTGCCACCTGCCCGAGGACGACGGCAACGTGCCCCAAGGTGGCCAAATTGAGCAAGCATGACTCGCGATGGTGAAGGATAAAGGTTTGGTATGTATGGAGCGATGTGGGATGGGCTGGCAATTCCTTAGCAGGTTCGATTCATGTTGGACACACATACACTCCACTCAACGATGACTTGAGCTCGTGGCAGCATGATTACTCCTTGCCCTTCAGCCTCCGGCCGTGCGGTGCATTTTATCCGATTTTATCCAGTCTCACGGAATCACGGAGCAGGTGTTGATTCGTGAAAGAACTCTTCGCAGTTTGCAGTTCTCATAGCATGTGAAGGCAACATGTGCTTTCTTTTTGGGACACTTGTAGCGTTGGCTTTCAATATCCTCGACGCGAGCGGGCACATTAAGCCCTCCCAAACTTAGCAAGTTTGGGCCGCACATCATTTCTGCAGAACTACTTCAGCTTCCATGACAGGTCTCTGCAGCAGAGTCATTGCAATCCAGGTGAAGCCAGAGCCAATTCGCTATGCCCAGCTTGTGTGGCTCGCTGTTTTGCTTCTTCCTGTTTCTATGTGCAAAGGGACGACAGCGCCAGGATTTTGTCTCGTCCGTGGTGAAGCTTAAAGTCCAACATCCTGAGCCCGGAGAGCCCCACTCCCTTGACTTGTGGACCAAGGTAGACTGGCATCGTGGTGATTCGGGCAGAAGAAGCAACTGCTGCGCGCTGTAGACCCATGCCCAGCCAAGAGCCAAGAATTCCGAGAATCCGACTAGTCAACTAGTCCTGACTGACCAGAGTCCGTCTTCCCCCTCCGGGGGAGGATCTACGAACCCTGGCTTGTGTGGCTTTGGTTGTGAAGCTTAACCTTGTAATACTTGTAATGCTGAAGTCTCCTTTCTCCACTTGGCGCGCAGTGGCCGCACAGCAATAGCAAAAAGGCTGCGCAAATGACGCAGCCGCCGAAGGCTTGCAAGAAGGCCCTGGCCCTAGCTCTAAATCCTAGAGACTCCGATAGACTCCGTGGACCCTCGCCATAGCTCGGAAAAAGGCCATCCCTCTGCAGCGCAGCGAAGCGCCAAGCCTGCGAAGCTTCAGTGCAGTGTCTGACCCTAGAAGCGCAAGCCCTGATTCAATGGCAGTGCAGAGAACCCATACGGTGAAACTGTGCAATTCGAATCTAGGTTTCTCGCTTAAGAATAGAGTGGTTCAGCATCTGGTGCCCATCAGGGCCTGTCTCTGGTGATCCTAACCTGTAGCGGTGGGCGCAAAGACGTGGTGGGAAGGGCTACACCGGTGGAAAGAACTTCAGTTCCGTCTCCGCATTTTCAACATCCCGTGCTAACGCTTAAGCCTCATTGTCATACACTTGTGAGATTGAGTGCCTACATACTATGCATACTCCGACCATTCTCGAAGTCCCAACCCGGCTATTTTGATTTACGTCGGTTGCAGGCGAACGATGGTTCGAGCCTGGCCTCGACACGGGACGCCTTGATCTCGCGGCCAAAGCTGCACTGGGCAGTGCCCAGTTTGGAGTTCACTCACACTTTGAACTTCATGGCTTGGCCAGATTGACAGCTAAAGCCTGGCCACGGTTTACGACTTCCATTTTCCGATTCCGTAGCTGCAGCAACAGCACTGCAGCCTCTAATCCGAGGTAGGCTCCTTCTGATAGCTCTTCTTGCACATGATGTTTTAAGTACCAAAGACCCGGACACCGTGTGACAGTGAGATCTCATGCCCCAGACCAGAGGCCTCAAACCTCAAAATCTGAAGTACGAGGCTCAGTTTTCGAGCAAAGTGATCCCCGAATACCAACCTGATTTCAGGTGCTGCAAATAGAGTATGGGAGAGTTTGAAGCTTGGGGGGTGGTGTTCAGAGGCTGGTACATGGTCACTGCAGCACTAGTCACCGAAAATCCTTTGCGCCGTGGTTCCATTGAGACGATTTTCGTGCGAGTGCTGACATGACAGCCGTTTCGAAACTGGAGGAGGATCGTCGAACCTGTTCTTGCACGATGTTACTGCCATGCCTGGTTGAAAGTGCAATATCTGTGTATAAAACTAGAAGACAATTGGCCCGAAAGCATCATCAGCGAAGAGTGTTGCGCTACGTCATAGAATCCAGTGTATAGGATCATAGAGTCACCGAGTCAAAAGCACGGAGTCACAGAGTCGGAGTGTCACATACAGTCAAGAGTCGTACAAGTCATAGTTCATAGAGTCATAGAGGCATAGAGTCGAGTACATGTCAAGCACAAGTCATAGTTCAAAGAGTCATAGAGTCATAGAGTCACAGTGAGATATGAATCATAGAGTCACAGTATGTCACAGTGAGACAGAATCATAGAGTCATAGTGTTATAGAGTCATAGCGTCCGAGTGAGAAAGAGTCATAGAGTCATAGAGTGATCTATGTACCATGCACTTGACTCGATGTAGTTCACTCTATGAACACAAATGTTCAAGTTTTAGCGGGTGTAGAGTAGAGTCCAGCATGAGGCAGAAGTCGTGTACATATATATATATATATATATATATATATATATATATATATATATATGTGACCAGGCCAATCCCTGCGAACGGTTGCGCGGGGCGCCTAAAATGTGTAACTTTACCTAGCGTTTGGGCGCTCGACCAGGCCAATCCCTGTGAAGGGTTGCGCGGGGCGCCTGTTAAGTTAAAAATGTGTAACTTTACCTAGCGTTTCAACGCGCGACCTGGCCAATCCCTGTGAAGGGCTGCGCACGGCGCCTGTTAAGTTAAAAAAGGTGTAACTTTACCTAGCGTTTGGGCGCTCGGCCATGCCAATCCCTGTGAAGGGCTGCACGGGAACCCTAAAATGTGCAACTTTACCTAGCGTTTGAACGCTCGAGGAGGCCAATCCCTCTGAAGGGTTGCATTCGCGATGGATGACGACGGTGCCACCCCTGGCTTTAGAAGAGAGATTAGATACCGAGATGTATGTAGAGAGGAAGTCAGTAGAGAGAGTAAATCACAGAGTCATCACAGAGTCATGTAGAGAGAGTAAGTCACAGAGTCATAGAGTCAAGGTCATCGAGTCATAGAGTCAAGGTCATAGTCATAGAGTCAAGGTCACAGAGTCATAGAGTCATAGAGTCAAGTCCTCAAAGGTATAGAGTCAAGTAAGGTATAGAATCAAGTAAGGTATAGAGTCAACTAAGGAGGTCATAGTCGTAGAGTCAAGTGTCAAGTCATCAAGTCATGTACCCGATTCTATGTCTGTAATCTATGTACTTATCTGCCCGGCTCCGCACGGAAGAACCCTTCGCGATGCTTTCGGGAACTCTTCGTCGAAGATACATTCATGGGCCTAGTGGAGGTCGACGCCCCAGTCGGCTGTCACAGGCGCACCGAATTAGAAGGGTCTATATGGTGTTTCAGTCGGGTTGGGGGCCCTTTCCTGCTTTGTGGTTCTGGGGACTTCAGAGCAAGCATGTCGTGAACTTAAAGATCGACTCCTTGCAGTTGTCGTCGTGTGGTTGCACCAGTTGCGGTGGTGGTGGTCGGGGGTGGGTGGTGGCTGGGGTGGGGCGGTGGTGGCGGTGGTGGTCGTCGTAATCGTCGTCGTAGTAGTCGTGGTAGTCGTCATTGTAATCGTAGCAGTAGCTGCAGCAGGTGTTGTTGTTGCTGCTGCTGCCGCAAATATTGTGGTTGTGATGGCGCTTACAGTAGTTGTTGGGCTTTGCGGGTCTGTTGTTGCTGCTCCCCGGACTTCCAGGAAGCTTTGCATTCAACCCTTGTCTGTGGAAGTGTTTAGGTTGAATGCATACATAGTCTGTGCCCCCGTTACGACCATGCAGTGCTTGCGACCTGAGCCCGGAAACCCG